TTTTTTTTTTTTTCCCTTTGGTTTTTCGAAACAAGGTTTCTCTGTATTGTTTTGGAGGCTGTCCTGGAACTCGCTCTGTAGACCAGGCTGGCCTCGAACTCCCGAGTGCTGGGATTAAGGGCATGCGCCACCAATGCCTGGCTCCTGGAGGATTCTTATGCTTACTAACTGCAGCACTCGGAGCCAGGTGGGGAAAGAAAGGGCCTTGGAGTCATCAGGACCTCTCAGGTGACACTGGCCATTTCATCTGTGGCCTCTAGCAGTGGGAAACATCAGTGTGGATGCTCTCTTCCAAGCCACCATCTTTCCTCTCTCAATTCGACTGAACATTCCCCACAGTTTTCACAATGTCCCACACAGCTGCGCCAGGAAATACAATCTCAATGAGCATGAAGCCTCTATTAGCTGGGTTGTTTTTCTGCATTCCAGATTTTTAAGAGCAAGCCCCCAAAGAAAGACAAACTTCGGTTTTAGGATTCTGTCTCCTCCTTCCATTTGTTTTGCAACAGTGGGGGAACAGCTTGAGGACAGCCCACAGGCATCCCTTCCAGATCCCTCTCTACATCCCTGACCCAGAATGAGTGCTTTCATGTTCCAAATCCTACTCCTCGGATCCAGGCTGCAGCATCACTTTGTACCAATGTTTTTAACTTGTTTTAATTTTAAGGGTTTCACCACATCTTATGCACACGTCTGCCACATTAAGGTAGGAGGACAACCTGCAGGGGTCAGTCCACCATGTAGGTCCCAGGGATCAAACTCAGGTGGTTAGGCTTAGCACCAATACCTTTACCTGCTGAGCCACCTTACTAGCCCCTTCCCCCTTTAAATCAGATTCTGTTTTGTGGAGTGTGTGGATGCTTGTGTCATGGCTCATGTGTGACGATCAGAAGACAACTTTAGGGAGCTGGCTCTCTCCTTCGACTACCATGTGGGTCCTGGGAATCAAATTCAAGTTGTCAGGAAAGCTCCCCTAGTTACTCAGTGAGTCAGCCATCTTACTGGCAACCTTGTTTTGTTTAGCGGCAGGGTTTCCTGTGTCCTGGGCTGGTCTTAAACTTGATAAGGATAGCCTTGAACTCCTAACCCTCCTGTCTTCACCTTCTGAGTACTGGGATTATTAGGATTCCATACCATGTTTATGAGATGCAGAGCTTAGTATATGCTAGGTAAGGTCTCTTTAAAAAATGAGTTGTGTCCCAATCCGCAGAAACTAACATTAAAAAATATGCAAAAGGACTTTAGGTATAGCCAGCCAGTGGTAGGGCCCTTGCTTAGCCCTTGCCAACCCTTACATATATAGCCCTGGCTCAGCCTTGCCTAGTCCTTGTCCAGCCCTTGCCTGTCCTCATCTAGCCTTGCCTAGCCCTTGGCCAGCACACACAACCCTGAGTTCCATCCCCAGCACAGCAGAGAAAATAAGTGATCCTCAAAGCAGTGCAAGATAGAAATAGCTCTTTTCTTCCGTATACCCATTAGATATTCACACATTTTCATTGGATGAAGACCCTCCCTTTCCCCTATAGTGAAAAGGGGGTTCAGTTTTCTAACCACACCCTGGGTGGGAGGCTCTGGGTCCATTCTGCTAACTCTGGACCTTGGCCAAAACTCTGTCAGAGACAATGAGGACTTGCTTCTCAGGGTACTTCAAAGGGGTACATTCTCCCAAGTCACAGAGCAGCCTCTGTGCTCCCCTCTATCCGCTTACTCCTGCACATCGTGAAATTCATTCATGTTCATGCCTTCAGAGACAAGGGCTCCCGACTGGCTCAGTAAAGTGCTTGCCTAGCATGCACAGAGAGTCTGAGTCCAGCCTGGACACACGAGACTCTGTTTTAAAAAAAAGTGAGGAGGCAAATCCTGAATGAGCCCCGTGCCCATGAAGATACCAAGCAGGCATTACCCAACAAGGTCCACTTGCTACTACACTTCCTTAATTTCCCCCTGGTTGAGCCCAGGGAGTTAGGAGGAGGACAGGTGGCCAGAGAGAAGGTTCTCAAACTGATGTACACTCACTGAGCTTTGCCCACTGGGCACAAGTCTGCCCAGTGCCCAGATACTTCCATCCTCAGAGGACACACTGACTAGATTCCTTTCTTGTATCCAGGGCCTCTGGAGCCTCTGGGCTCCTCCAACACATCAATGTTTGGGCTTAGATGCCAGGTACTTAATGGATGAGAAGCTGTTGCAGCCTTTGGAGGGCACAGGGGCGGCAGAGGGAAACAGGTCACAGTTGCTGCCCTCATAATACTCATGACCAGCAGCAGAAGGGAGGACATCAACAGCATCAGCCATTGGGGCCATAAGGACAGGAAGACACTCCCTCTCCATCCTCAAGCACACTGATAGGTCTTCCCTAAATATTCTTTGATGTGGCTGACAAAACTTTAAAAAGGCTATTCACAGGAAGGAAATGGGACTTATGAACAAAATCGTAGCACAAGCTCAGACCAGGGAGCCTTTAAAGAGATAGCCTCAGTATAACCACCAGGGGTCCTTGACCATGGATCCATCAGACCGAAACATCCCGAATCCATTTTGTTCAGCTGGTCTTTTGACCTTGGGCAAGGCGCTCTCCCTCTGCAGTTCTATAGATGAGGGCAGAGGACTGGATAGGTGATTTTTATTAGCTATTACTTTACTATTAACCCAAATATTATCCAAATTTTGTTTTACCTGGAACCCCAATATATAAAATAAAGGGGAGATGTCCATATGGGGTCAGGCTATGAAAGCACAAAGCCAATGGGAACCCAGCTCCCTCCAGAGTGCTTATATCCTTTTTCAGTGTACCCTGAGGACAGAAGGGAATCGCCATTGATTTAGTGTTCTCCTTGGTGCTTGGGAATCCACATGTCACGTGTTATTGAAACCTCTGCAACAGCACTGTGCAGTTAATTGGCTTAGGAACTGTGATGTGTTGAAATCAGGGCTATGAACTGGGATCTTCTGGCAAGAGGCAGAATTGGATTTGAACCATGGATTTTCTTTACTCCAAACACAATATCCCAGGCCTACCCCCAGCTCCGCACCCTTTACCTATCTATGTAAGATATTGAACTGGATTATTTCCTTGAATCATAAATACAAATATATGTATAAACATATAAAATAAGTTATATTCTTAAAGACTATAACTCCTCTAAATTATCATGAGATTCCCTTCTGAGGCAAAGATGTGGCTGATTTTCAGTTTATTTACATTAGCTAATATTTCACAATGGGTTGTTAATTCAAACCAGGAATTGTTGATTAAAATGGGTGTTAATAATGCATGTTGATTCTGTATCTCGAATTAGGGACAGGGTTGGAAGTGCCCTTGACCTTTTCAAGTTGCTCCAAATCCCACCAATCTTGGGTGCAAGGGGTAGCTGTAGACCTGAGGGGCAATTCTCACGGTCATTTAAGTCGGGCATCTCGGCTCTTCAGGATGCGGTTGTCTCAGAAGGTAACAAGGCGTTGCCGCAATCCCTCCTAACACTGCACATCCTTTCTACACTTCCCCATTTTGGCTCAGTTGCCTCCTCTGTGTGGGATGCTAAGAAACCAGGACGTTTCGTGATCCCAGCTGAGGACCTACAGAGGAAGCCCACCAGGCAAGCAAGTGAGCTCCCAAGCTCCATCCACAGGTCCTCCAGAGGCCAACAGCAAATGCAAAGATCACAGGACTTCAGGAAAGAAAAATGCCAGCGAAGGCAAGACAAGCTTTAGTCGGGCATGAGGCGTGGCAAGGCGTGCCAGTGGCTTCTCTGTATTATTGATGCCAGTCATGCCCAGAAATTGAAATATTTTACGTGCCACCTGAAGGAACAGAGAAAACCCCCAGCAGTTGGCAGCAGCTGTTGGCGAGACCTTTGTGAGGTAACTCACTGGACTTGGGAGGAAAGGGCAGAATGGTGGCTGGAAGACAATGGCTAGGACTTTAAAGAAAGCTGCGCTAGACGGCCTTGAAAATCAGTCAAGAAGCCAAGAGGAGAGATGTGCCAAGATTTGGGATGTGGCACTGCACTGTCAAAGAGAGTTAATAGTCTCTCTCTTAGACAAAGAAATGTTGGGCACGTGGTCCTCCTCACCCAGGCCTCCCCAGACCCATTTCAGTACCAGGTCCCTGAGCAAGTGGTAAATCAATCGTCCTGATCCAGGTAGGAAAGGTGGGAGGAGAGAAACCAAACCAAAACAAAAGTCCCCATCACACATCCCCAAGGACTTCATACAGGCCTCACCCCAGATGACTCTGCTCTCCAGCACCGTCTGGGAGGTGTCTCTGCCACCGCCCTTTGATGGTGGTGGTGGGGTAGTGGGATGCTGCCACTTGGAAATTTCCTGTGCATTCCTAGAGGTGCCTGCCCCTGTCTCTTAAACCCCTGCAGAGGAGAGCGGACAAGAGAGACGAAGACATCGACTCCAAGATGCATTCTAGTCTGTTTGCCACCTGCCTTTGCCTCTGCCTATTTGAGAAACCTAAAAAGGAGTATTTTCCCACTCTATTGAATGCCTCACTTCCAAATCTGGCTACTGGTCTCCGTCTCCGCGATGACCCCTCCAGGCAGCTCCTGTCGCTTGTCTGCCTGTCATTTTCACCTGACAAAGCGCGGCGGCAGGCGAGCCCAGGGCATTTCTCCCAAAGGAGACGCGCGGGGCACCCACTACTGGTCTTTGCAAATCAGCCCCACCCGTACTGGAACAAAGCAACAGAAGCAAGGCGAGACCCATCAACCAACCCGGGCGACTCCACCAGCGTGCGGGGACCCACGCTCGGGTCCCCCTGCAAGGCGCCGCCTGAACCCGCAGCCACCCATGGGCCAGTAGCGCCGCGCGTCCTACGCCTTCTCGTGCTCCCCGCGTCCCCAGGCAGCTACTGTACCCGCTAAATTTAGCGACCGCCGGGTATTAATAGCTCTAGCTACCCGGGGCTGGTGGCTCGCAGGGGCGCGTGGCCCTAAGGGACCTGGAGACCTGGAGGAAAGGGAAGAAAGGACGCAGGAAAAGAGGCCACTTACACCACCAGCCTGGAGATGATCCACGACACCATGGCGGGTGGGCGGGCGCGGCCCGAGCTGCTGAGTTGCGGGCAGTGCTGCGCTCCCGACACGTCTGTCTGTCTGCGCACCGCCGCCGCCGCCAGACTGAACGCGCCCGCCGGCCCGGCCCCGCGCTCGCGCATCGGCGCAGCCGCGCCACGTTCCGCCCGCTGCCCCAGCCCCCCGGGGCTCCGCGGGCCCGCGGCGATTGGGCGGCTAGCGGTGAGGGCACCCGTGCGACCCGCCCCTGTTCCGATCGTCCCAGCCCTAAGGCTGCAGCCAGGGCGGGTCCTCCTCCACCCGCTGTGGCGTGGAACCTCGCCTTGCGGGGGCCCAGTGGATTGGGCCTCGGAACACACGGGGAGGGCTGCCCCACCCTCAGTATTATGGTAGGGAAACTGAGGTCCAGTTCTGGACTTTGAAACCTTGCCCACACCTGTCTGGACAAGATTCTGTCATTCTTCACTTAGGTCATGCCCTAGCCTCAGGAGAAATCTGACATCTTCAATTGGCACCCCTTAAGTCATCATTACAGCATCTCAGCAAGTGTCTGTCTACTGACAGCTCTAGTGTCCCTACACGATCTGTATACCTTGCCTGCAATCATTCACCTCTTGTCCCTTTAGTTCTTTTTACTGCAGATACCTTGGTGTCTCTCTCACTTACTTTGTGTGTATGTATACACGCATGCACCACCACACACCTGGCAGGGAGAGGGGGTTCAAAGGACAATATGCAGGAGTCAGTTGTATGTGGGTCCCAGGATCAAACTTGAGGCGTTATGCATTGCAGAAAGCACCTTACAGACCCGCACTCTGGACTTTTCTGTGTTCATACATACACTTGTCTTGGTTTGATTTATCGTCAAGCCTCGACTGATGGGGTATCAGAGCTGAACATTGCATACATCATGGCCCAGCAGCACTTGCAGAGCCATGTGGCATCTTAGGCAAAATGGAAACTGCATCCATTCCATATAAACACTTTAATGCATTCAAAAATTATTGCATCATATAGGACTTATTTTTTTGTTTTGTTTTTTTTGTTTTGTTTTGTTTTTGTTTTTTACGAGACAGGGTTTCTCTGTATTGTTTTGGAGGCTGTCGGTCCAGCCTGGCCTCGAACTCACAGAGATCCGCCTGCCTCTGCCTCCCGAGTGCTGGGACTAAAGGCGTGCGTCACCACCACCCAGCTAGGACTTATCTTGATAGCTGAATTTTATGGTGTCCCTTTAAATGTTGCAGCCCAGCTGAGTGGCTTGCTTTGCTTACCCTGAGGAACGCCTGCCTGCACCAGTTTCATTCAGTATCACTGAAAAGCCTTGGTCCTTGATCCTCTGGCTCTGCTGCTCCCTTCCTGCAGTACCTTAGATCCCCAGTGACTTGTTCTTTGCTGATATTCTGTTGTGTAAGACTCAGTGTCCAATATGAGACATTCTGTAGAAACTTAGCGTGCAGCCTTCTCTAAAGGAACTCAGTCCAAGATGGCTTCCTGCAGAGGCAAGGTGACTTTGGACTTGAGCTGAAAGACACTGGAAATCTAGAGCTTTCAAATGTAGCAGAATGTGCATGATGGCATGTACCTACAATTCCAGTACTTCTCTCTCTCCCTCTCCTTCTCCCCCCTCTCTAGCATGAATAATAAAATCCCAGAAGCAGATATTGGGGTTAAAACTGAAGATCAGAGAAGCAAAACAGTCGGCCACTGGCTCTTACCTCTACCTCAGACTGAAAAGGCGGATCCTGTCTCCAAGAATCCTCAGTGTCCTTCTGAAACTGCACTGAGCTCCTGTGTTTTATCTCTAGTGGTGGCATTAAAGGGGTGCACTCTGTTTCTCTTTTAGATTGATTCACTCTCATGTAGGCCAGGGTGGCCTTGAACTCACAGAGGTCTGTCTGTCTCTGTCTCCTGAGTGCTGGGATTAAAGGTGTGGCCACCACTGCCCGTCCTCTGTGACTAACTAGTGGCTTAGATGTGTGGTTAACTAGTGCATTCTGATCTTCAGGCAAGGTTTATTTGTCAGATTACAAACAATATATCACTGTCTCATTCTCTTTCTGACAACGAAGGTGCTGTCTTTTGTGATGAAGAGTCTTAAAGAAAAACCCTTAAAACACTTACAATATAGTTACAGTATAGGGGGTTTTAATGTAGTGTTGAATCCATTTGGAGGCTGGCCATTTCCTCACAGCCCTAAACCACGTCCCTTACAGAACCCTCACACTCCAGGCTACTCTATTCCTACATATGAGACAACCAGAGATGCTTCTGTGTTCCAGGACCCCCTGAAATTATTCAAATTAGAAAATCATAAACCTGCCGGGCGTTGGTGGTGCACGCCTTTAACCCCAGCACTTGGGAGGCAGAGGCAGGCGAATCTCTGTGAGTTCAAGCCAGCCTGGTCTACAGAGCGAGTTCCAGGACAGCCTCCAAAACAATACAGAGAGGCCTTGTCTCGAAAAACCAAAAAAAAAAAAAAAAAAAAAAAAAAAAAGAAAGAAAATCATAAACCTGCCTTGCCATCCCTGAGGAATTTGTTTGCAATGGCTCCCTCTCTCTTATACCAATCCCAGCTGTTTTCTTTTCCTAAATGTCTTTAACTTTATTTTATATGCATTGGTGTGAAAATATCAGATCCCCTGGAACTGGAGCTACAGACAGTTGTGAGCTGCCATGTGGCTGCTGGGAATTGAACCCAGGTCCTCTGGAAGAGCAGTCAGTGCTCTTAACCTCTGAGCCATCTCTCCATTCCCCCACCCTAGCTATTTGAGTGGCCTGTACTCTCTCTAGGGATGAAAACAAATAGAATAAAACTGAGTTCTTTCCCAGCTCTCTCTTCACTGTCTGGCCACACCATACTTTACTAGAGACAATAAAAATTAAATAGGGAAAAACTTGGAAAACTTAGCAGGCAGAGAAACCCAAAGGCTAAGTCAGGCATGGTAATTCATGTCTGTAGACCCAGAACTTGATAAATTGATGAAGGGGGATAGTCATGAGTTTAAGGACTGCCTGGATTACAAATGTGAGTTTCTATATCAAATTACAAAACACCAAAGGCGAACCTGGTATAGCAGTGCATGCCTGTAATAATAAAAACAATAATAGCAACAATAAAATGAATTAAAATTTAAAAATACAAGAGCTGTGCAAAGTTAAGTCATGAGGTACATTCCTTGCAAGCACAGGACTTGAGTTTGATCTCCAGAACCCAGAGACAGAGGCAAGAGAATAAATCCGTGGGGCTCATTGGTCAACTAGAGCCTAGACTACTTGGTGTGTTCTGGGCCAGTGAGAGGCCCTGTGCATCAAAACAGGTGGACACTGCCCAAAGAATGACCTGTTTTACACACACACACATTCACACACACACACACACACACACACACACACACACACACACACCATACATATTTCAAAGCCACAAGACAAGGCCAAGCAAGGAGGGTCTTCTGAGCCCTCACACACATCTCTCCTTGTTCTTCCACCACACTCACTAGTGAAATCAGAAGGTCTATCAGCCATCTTGAGGGGTGGAGGACACAGACTATAAACTTATCAGGGTGTTGGTAGCATAGGCCTATAGTCCCAGCTGTTGAAGAGGTTGAGAAAGGAGGCTTGCAAGGTAGAGGGCTGCCTGGGCTAGGGAGAGTTCAAGGCCTACCTGGTCTATTTACTGAGATCCTGTCTCAAAAAATCAAATAATAACAACAACAAAAAACGAGAGAGCCCGTGACAGCTCAGTAGCAGGTTTACCTCCTATTTGCAAAGTCTAGAGTTCAAGACTCAGTACTGGGAAAAAAATTAAAATTTTCAAAAATTGTGGTTTGCAGGGGTCTCCTGAGTGGGCAAACAGTAGAGTGCTGCCCTGTGTTGTTTCCCCTGGGCATGCCCAGTAGGTAAGCTTTCCAGGTAAATGAAAAACCCAGGTTAGATTACTGTGCTCAACTGGACATTTCCATTACTGCAATGAAACACTTAGGGCTGGAAAATGAGTGGAACCACCCCAGGTTTTCTTCAACAGCCAGGAGGATTTTTTCCAGAGCAAGGCTGAATGATGGGCAGGAGGGGAGGGAAGCCGGGTTGGGAAGAAAGTTATTTTTGTTGCATCCCATTTCCCCGAGCAGAAATGTTGCAAATCCTGACTCTCTCCATCCTGGCCCCTCCAGTTTGTCCTTGGCTATAGCCCTGAAAACACTGAGCATTCAAAAATAATAATAAGTCTCCATGTTGTGATTTGGGAGCTGGTTGGTAGCCCAAAAGAAAAAGCCTAGTACAGAAGACAGTGCCATTTTTGACACCATCTTTCATAGGGCATGCTCAGTTCCAAGCTAGAAGAACGAGACCACCATATCAAGAAAAGCAGCTGTTCACAGTTCATTGGCATGAATGTGGGCATTAAGTGTCTCTCGTTCTTAAGACCAGATGAAGCAAGCATTTTGGAGTTTCTACCAAGTAGTTTGGAGAGTTAAAATACCTGCTCCAAAGCAGCCAGTAGATAGAGCAATCTATACTACCCCAAAAACTCTGTTAATGGTCTCTGTGATGGAGAAAACAGAGGTTCATGTAAGATCCTGCATGGACAAAGGCCACTAGGCCACTACCTCTGTTTATGTTGTTCAGAGATTGTCTAAATAGGAAGATGACTATGATACAGACTGGGAATTAATTGGTCAACGTTTTAAAATATTCAATCTGATGATATAACCCATGCCTGGGGGTTTCCTGCTTCAGAACACCTGTGGATTTTGGTCTTGTGATAGCTGCTAGGCTCAGGCGATATGTTGGAAACTTGATGCTGTTGTAGTTTTGTGTTGTCTTTGGTTGTTCTCTGTCCCCTTATAGAAGCAGCACATGTGTTCATTTATAGTAAAGCCCCACCTGTTTCCAGAAAGGATTCAAGACAGCAAGGATAGTCTTTCCACAGACACACCCCAGATTCTTGTAACAGTGTCTGAACCAGGTGGGGGCCCTTCTCGGGGCACTGGCAAGATTCATTTAACAGAAGGGGTGGGTTAGAGGTGACCATGCACTGTTGGCCAAGGCAGAGCCTCCGTGGTGTCCTTTGGCAGGGTCATCAGGGAAAGACAGAGGTTGGTGCCAGAGACCTTTGGCCTCAGCCTCCTGGCGCATTCCCTAA